GAATATTCCACTCCCGCCCGAACCGGCGGTTGAGGTGGCGGATGAGGTGGAAGGTCCAGAACCAATGGATCTTTCAAGTGCAACTGCTGCGGGGCAGCAGGGGACGAGATCCAACGTGCGATGCTTCCGGTGCGGAAACATCGGATATTATGCACGTGAGTGTACGACACCAGTACACTCGGTCCAAGGTCGACGTGGCGATACAGGGTATCGTCACGGTCGAACAAACAACGCGACGGATCAGTAGGCGCGGAGCGCCCTACTGGTAATGCAGTCACGCGTGTCTACAACGGACACGCGGTATGGAGACTGCAGCCCCCAGTGAGAGGGAATCTCACTGCAAGGTGCGAGATGACAAGCAATCCTTGTCATCTTGAAGATGATGTCGATGACGAAGAGAGCGGACTCTCTTCAAGTGTTGGCAGACTCGGACGTGTCGAACAACTTGTTCGACAGCAACGTCTGCCGTTGTTGGACTTCGGAGAAGCATGTGCCTCGAAGTCAGTTTGAAGTACGATTGGCAACAGGTACCATCGTGAAGACCGAGAAGCGCGTACTTCACGCACGCTTATCGTACAAATACCGGGTGTTTGTGGAAGAACTTCTCGTCCTGGACTTGGACGAGAAGTTCGACATGGTGTTGGGCATGCCGTGGCTTGCACGGCATGATCCTATTATCGACTGGGAGAAGCGTACGGTCGTACGCTTCGGACGCCGCGGCGCAACAGAGAGCGATGGCCCTGTTAGTGCAGCGGATACACCGAATGGTGCATCCGAACCTCCAATAGAGACAGTGACTCGCGCCGCTGTCTCCGGTTGTAGCACGTAGAGCGCGCGGGCTGTAACGACTCCGGGAGTCGTTGACATAATAGGAATGTCTGGTCAGGGACCAGACTACCAAGAAATTCTCCGCCGTAAGGCGTCGAGGTGACAACAGCCTGTCGACTCCGGGGAATTGACACGCACTCGATATGGAAATCGAGAAGGGACTCCGCCGTGAGGCGTCGAGGTGACAACGGTGTGTCAACTCCTGGAGTTGCGACACACTTCTCTGCCGTAAGGCCTAGAGGTGACGACAATGCATTGACTCCCGGAATCGATGCGACAAGCTGCGTGGACGGTTGCAAACGTCCAGACTGAATCTTGCGTGCAGCCGGGCTGCACGAAGCAGGGCGCGATCAAGCCGGGCTTGATGACGCGTGCCCGCGGGTACAAGAACCCGACGGCGATCGCCCGCAGACTGGAATGTCTGCCGGTGGTATCAAGAAACATTCGTCCATGGCCGGGCCTGGACGAAACGCAAGTGAATCCGGGATTCACAAGAAGAAGCGACGGCGTGAGCACAAGACGATGCGCAAGTCTCGGTACGGGACCGAGACTCTTCATGGTATGTCTGTCGGGCAGACACAAGAGCCAACAGTGGCCGTCGAGACGTTGAACGTCT